AATTCCGCTACTGCAAAAGTGAAGGAACGGGCAAGATAGCTTTGAAGATGACTTCTGGCAAGATTGTGACTCTAAATGATGTCCATGTTCCTGAAATACGGAAGAATTTAGTCTCGACATCACTTCTAGTCAAGAACGGCTTTAAGTGTATTTTTGTTTCCGACAAGGTTGTAGTTAGTAAGAATGAAATGTATGTAGGGAAAGGTTACCTTACTGAGGGCCATTTAAAACTCAATGTAATTGCCATTGATATGAATAAAATTTCAGCTTCTTCTTACTTGCTTGAGTCAAATAATTTATGGCATGAACGTTTAGGATACGTCAACTGCAAAACTTTGCGAAAAATGATTAATTTGGAAGTATTGCCTAAGTTTGAATGCAATAACTCGAAATGTCAAATATGTGTGGAATCAAAGTATGTTAAGCATCCTTATAAGTCAATTGAAAGGAATTCAAATCCTTTAGACTTAATTCACACAGATATTTGCGACATGAAGTCAATACCATCTCGTGGTGGAGTATTTCATAACTTTTATTGACGACAGTACTAGATATTGCTACATTTACTTACTTAATAGTAAAGATGAAGCAATTGATGCATTCAAGCAATACAAAAATGAATTTGAAATGCAACTAAACAAAAAGATCAAAATGATAAGAAGTGATAGGGGCGGCGAATATGAATCTCCTTTTGAAGAAATATGTTTGGAATACGGCATTATTCACCAAACAATTTCCCCTTACTCACCGCAATCTAATGGAATTGCGGAAAGAAAGAATAGAACGTTAAAGGAGATGACGAATGCCTTGATAATAAGTTCTGGTTTACCTCAGAACTTGTGGGGGGAAGCTATTATTACAGCTAACCGAATACTCAATCGAGTTCCTCATAGCAAAACACAATCCATTCCATATGAAAAATGGAAAGGAAGAAAACCCAAATTAAAATATTTTAAAGTATGGGGGTGTTTGTCTAAAGTGCAGGTCCCTAAACCCAAAAGGGTAAAGATTGGACCGAAAATCGTTGATTGCATTTTCATAGGATATGCAACAAATAGTAAAGCATATCGTTTTCTGGGTCATAAATCAGAATATCCCGACATTCGTATTAATATGGTAATCGAATCAGATAATGCTAAATTCTATGAGAATATTTATCCGTATAAAATAGAATGTGAGCCGTATAGTAAAAAATCTAAGCGACCTCGGGAAGAAGTAAAGTAAAGTAAAGTACTTTTGATGAAGATAATCCAAGACGTAGTAAACGATAAAGGACAGCTACTTCCTTTGGACCAGATTTTTTGGCATTCTTATTAGAAAATGAGCCTCAAACGTTCAAAGAAGCAATGTCTTCCTCGGAAGCACAATACTGGAAAGAGGCAGTCAATAGTTAGATAGAATCCATATTAAGTAATCATACTTGGGAATTGGTTGATCTTTCTCCGGGAAATAAACCTTTGGGTTCTAAGTGGATTTTCAAAAGAAAAATGAAAGTTGATGGTACTATTGACAAATATAAGACAAGATTAGTTGTTAAAGGGTTTAGACAACGACAAGGTCTTGATTACTTTGACACATACTCGCCGGTAACAAGGATTACATCTATCCGGGTGTTAATAGCATTAGTCGCCGTGTATGGCCTTCAAATCCATCATGGATGTGAAGACAACCTTCTTAAATGGATTTGGATGAAGAAATTTATATGGAACAACCTGAAGGTTTTGTAGTTCCCGCAAAAGAAAAGAAGGTGTGTCGACTTGTTAAGTCACTTTACGGACTAAAACAAGCACCAAAACAATGGCATGCAAAATTTGACCAAACAATGTTGTCAAATGGTTTTAAGATCAATGAGTGTGACAAATGTGACATTAAGAATACTCCAAATTAAATATTCATTGTTTGTTTATATGTGGACGATATGTTGATAATGAATAACGACATTGCTAACATAAATGCTACTAAGCGCATGTTTACTAGTAAGTTTGATATGAAAGACTTAGGAGTTGCCGATTTAATTCCGGGAATTAAGATCCTACAGACTTCTCAAGGTCTAGCTTTGTCTCAATCTCATTATATTAAAACGGTGCTTGAAAAGTTCAAATATTTGGACTTTAAAGTTGTAAAAACACCAATTGATATAAACTATACTCTTGTGAAGAATAAAGGTCAAAGCAAGTCTCAATTGGAATATGCTCGAGTGTTGGGAAGTTTGATGTACATTATGAATTGTACACGACCTGATATAGCTTGTGCGATAAGTAAACTTAGTCGATATACAAGTAATCCCGACCAAGCTCATTGGATGGCAATGAAATGAGTATTGGGGTATTTGAAATATACTCAAGACAATGCATTACATTACAATAATTATCATGTAATTATTTAGGGATATAGTGATGCAAATTGGATCACCGGATCAATGGAATCAAAATACACAAGTGGATACGTTTTTACCATTGGTGGAGGAGTAGTGTCTTGGAAGTCGTCCAAACAGACATGAATCGCCCGCTCTACAATGGAGTCTGAGTTTATAGCTTTAGACAATGCCTGTGAAGGAGCTGAATGGCTCCGGAATTTCTTGGAAGATATTCCATTTTGGCCCAAACCTTTGGCACCTATATGCATACATGTGATAGTCAAGCGGCAATAGGAAGGGCAGGGAGCGTTATGTATAACGAGAAATCTCGTCACATACGACAAAGACATAATATCGTTAGACAACTACTCTCTAGTGGAATTATCGCAATTGACTATGTAAAGTCAAAAGATAATGTATCGGACCCGCTTACAAAAGGCCTAGCTAGAGAGGCGGTTGAGAAGTCATCAAAGGGAATGGGACTATGGCCTAGGACAAGTCACTGCGGCGGTAACTCTACCTAGAAGACTGGAGATCCCAAGATCTAGGTTAAAGGAGATCAAACAAAGTCATTAGTGACGGAACATTGTCAAATAAATTTTTTCCATTCTCATGACGAAGACAATGTTCAGTACCAAGGATAAAGCGTTAATGCTTTTTATGGTTTCTAAGTTTGATACGGGGTATATCAAATAGTGTATCTATAGGATAACACATTTAGGAATCACCTATGTAAGTGTGAAGTGTAAGCCGCTTCAAGAAAAATTTTGTAAGGCCAGTTTTCTACGCACTTATGAAACCAGGCGGTGTTCATGGCTGAAACGAATACAACAATGAGAACCAAAGACGGTTAAGGGTTGATTGTGTGACATATGGTTGTCTAGGTATACACCAAAGTTCGACGGTTCAAAGAAATCAAATCTACCGGTTGATCGAGTATATCCGACATATGTTCACTACGGAAAGTTCAAAGGGAAACCTACTTATCCAGATGCGATTAATCCTTACTGACGAATCACACGGTTGCTTCATGCATAATTTTTCCGGATAGCCATTCCCCATTCATGTGGGGGATTGTTGGATTTTGTTAATCAAAATAAAATAGGTGTGAATGGAAAATGGTGGGAAAAGAAATGGAGGGAAATGAAAGTTTGAATAAGTCCATTTTACAAAGGAACTTTGTCCCTCATTGGATAGGAAGAGGAAAATTCTTGTGCTTATATATAGAAGCACTTCTTCTAGTTCTTAGAGAGTTGAGAAGAGAGCAAGCCTCGCACCGTCATCATCATCGCTCGCTCGGCTTCGGCTTCGGATTTGAATTTGGATTTGGATTTGGTCAATTGATATGATTAATTGATAATTTTTTTGGATCAAATTTAGTCTCCATTTCCGTCATTTAATATTTCCTTTCCTAATATTTTTGCGTGGAAAATTATTTAAATTCGCGGCACTTCCAACGGTCAATTTCGCGACCATCCAGTCGGTTCTGTCGAATAGATACCTCTTCGCCCAAACAGGCACCTTTGCACCTGTTGGAACTCAACTCTGTTGGCTATAAATATGAGGCTCGGTCTCATTTTTCACCACCAAAAAATCTGAAATCTCTCCCCTCTATCTTCTGCATTCTGCATTGTTTTTCAAAAGCAAAAATGTAAGTATTTTGTGTGATTTGCTCCGCCATTTGAGTTCGTCGAAGTTCTGTGATTTGAAGTGCCGCTATCACAGAATAGTTATTCCGTTCTATCCTGGGAGGAATTAATCCTAAACCTTGGACAACTGCGAGAGGATTAAATTCTTTAAGGACACACAAGAAACTTGTGGGCTCGAAATTTTTCTATTTTGTTTTCTTAAACTAACGTTTACTGATTTTCTGGTTTTCAATACAGTGTGGTAACATTCTAATTGTTAGATTTTTGGTGATAGGAACCAAGCTGGTTATGAAAACTAATCGTATTATACTACTATTCAGTAAAAAGAGATAAAATTCTAGTTATTTGATTGGAAAAAAAGTGCATGATTAACGTAGGTTAATTCTTTCTTTAGCTTCAAGAAATTCAAATTTGAAGTACAAAACAAAAATGGATCGTCTGCGGACAAGCAAAATGGAACATTTTAGCACGTAGAGAAATCTGCCTTCTATATTATGCTTGTTTAATATGCTCTTGCAGTCCTGCTATTAGTGTCAATTGAATCTGCTTGTTTAGTTCTTAATGAAATAAATAATCCACAAAAAAATAATTGGAAAGATATGTTAGATTACACGCTTATTAGTGCAACAACTTTTTTGGTAAGCTCTTTGTAATTCTACTCCTAACACTTGATTTTGCATTATTCTGAGTGATAGTACTAACTTTTTTCTCCTACTTAATTTTCTTGTTTTTTCATCTAATTTTCATATATTTAGTTATGTGTTACTTTGTCTTTCTTCACATAGTGACGATAATAAATTGTTTGCTAAGAAAATTTAAAAAATAAAATAATAAACATATGAAGAGCACTTGAATCATGTTAAGAAAATTCAACTGTCTACTATATATATATATATACAAAAATAATATTACTTATATATACAATAAAAAAAATTCGACTCAAACAAAGTACTTGCTCCTTAAAGAAATAGGTGGTTGGGAAAAGAAAATTAAAAAATAGTTAGAGGGGAGGCGCGAAACCGTTAGTGATTGTGGAGGACGCGGTTCATTCCCTTTACAACTTGCATTTTTATTTCTTTCCCATTTTCCATTAAACCCTAACCCCATGAACTCCGATTGTCTCTCTGTTTTGTCTGTATATTAAATCGACAAATCCAACGCCTGAAGTTTATGAAATAGCAGTGCGAGCTCATTTTGACCGATCGATTTGATCGATCGGGTTTTTAGTTTCTTTCTATTGCTTTTGTTTACAATAAATAATAGTAGAACCTTAGGAAGATGTCGAAGTTGTATGGAGGGGATTTCAATCAGAAGATAGATTACGTGTTCAAGGTGGTGCTGATCGGGGATTCTGCGGTTGGGAAATCGCAGCTATTGGCCCGGTTTTCGAGGAATGAGTTTAGTCTTGATTCTAAGGCCACCATCGGTGTTGAATTCCAGACAAGGACCTTAGATATCGATCATAAGACTGTTAAGGCTCAGATTTGGGACACTGCTGGTCAAGAAAGGTAATTTTACTTACAGTGATCAATGTAGATCTGTCAATCTCAAGATAATTGTGATTTAGTACTAATTATCGACTTTTGATTTGTGAATTATGTGAATTGGTATTTGTTTGATATGGGTTTGATCAAATTGGTATCTGATATGCTATGCAGTGACTTAAAAGACTGTACTATGAGTCTGATATGCTTACTAAGGTGTATTCTTTTCGAGCTATGACCAGATATGTTTCTGTGTTTGATAAGAACTTTGTCTTTTAGAAGGGATATACAAGTAATAGTGAACCCCAAAATATGGAGTATTGGAATGCAACGGGTTCAAATTGAGCAAAATGATTACTTATTATTCACATAACCGACCCCATTTGGCTTGGAATTGTGGATATTGAGGAATCATATAAATGACGCCAATTAGATTAGCATTGTTTTAGATTGTAAAGGTTTGCCCCTTTTTAATACATCTAATGCCTCGCCTCATATTCTGTGTTGGGTCATTTGATTCTTTATTATCTTTTTCATACTCATGTTGTATCAATCCCTAGTTTGAATTACCTTCCAAATTCTATTTCTTTTGTTGATAAAGTGTGCATTTTATTGATTTAATTGGGGATAACCCCATATGAAATGATACTATGTAATAGAACACGTTCTAGATAAAAATGTGATCCTATACAAAAAAGACCCAATCATCTATACTAATTGGAATTTCATATTTTCTCAAGGAATTTCTACATAAAACATAAATGATCCTCTTTTTTGATAAGCCCGGAAACATAAATGATCCTCTATTACGTACAAAAGAGTTTTCAACCCCTTCAAAAGTTATTTTCTTCCTTGTTTTCTAAATTTCCAAGTGAGTGCCAAAGGAACCATTTCCTCTGCTCTAGTCATCCTCCTTTTTCTGCTGACTACCCAACTTAGTAGCGAACTTTTAACAAAATATGGCATTAATCTTTCGATACCCAACATATTCCAAATTACTCCACAATCTGTGCACAAGCTGAAATTTTAGCAGCAAGTCATTCAAATCTTCCGCTGATTTCTTGCACACAAAAAAACCAACTGATATGAGTTATATTCCTCTTTATCAAGTTCTCGGATGTCATGATCAAATCCGTTCCTCTCCCCTCCTCCCCCCCCCCCCCTAAAACCCCCCCCAAACCCCCAACACACACACACACACAAAAGGAGTCCAGCAAGTCCTTGGAGGGTACATGTAGCTGTTTAATCAAGAGCATATATATCATTACCTTCATTGCCATGTCCATCTTTATGGAGTTGAGCCAAGAATTCCTTATGTTATTTCTCTGACTTGTTTAATTTGGTTGTTGTCAAGTTTTTTACCATTTTCTTGGGTTACTTTAATTTCTCAGTTTCTGCTGCCCTGGTTTTAAATTTATGAACTTCATAAATTAAAAGATAGCTATTAGTAGGTTTCTTTTCCAACCAGAGAGTGGACAGGTGTCTGGGCTACCTAAAATTCTCACATAATTCAGTGTCATCGTGGGAACGCCTTCCCCTGGATTATATGTTTTGCATTTGTAAGCCAGGTAGATGGAACTGTAGCTAAAGACAGTCTATGCTGGTACTGAACGACAACTCCATGCAGAATTATGAACATAACCACTTTGAGACAATCCAACTTTGATTCTGGGGAAAATGGTAGTTATAAATTCTATTTCCCTTTTCTTTTTAGGACTATAGGATAGTTGCAGGTATCATTGTTATCAGTATTCTATATCACCTTGAGGAGAGAATGTATCTGCCTTGAAGGGCTGTGACTACATGATATTTGGTGTAGAATGTCTAAAAACCAATTGTTTTTGGTCATAAAAAAGAAGAATTATCTTTTTTGATTAATACAACCATATGTGGAAGATATTTCTTTGTGAGACCAGTCAAGTGCAATGAACATCAGAGTGCTTAAGAAGTTCAGTCCTGTTTGTAGGTTTTGCATTCGTGTGTGAAATGAGTACCCTCCTAAGAAAGAAAAGAAAGAAATGGATTTCAATATGCATTTAACATAATTTCAATGTCATACCGAATTCAGGAAAACTGAATGTATTAAATACTTATGCTCGGTGCAACTTTAAAATCTGGACTATGATTCCTCTGGGTCTTTTCTTGTTAACCATTTGATTTTTGTTATGCGCCCCTCAGGAGAGAAATTAAGAGTCACATCACAAAGGCAATATGTGTGGTGATTGACGACTGAATGCGTGTAGAAATGCTTTAATACCAAACATGAATGTGAAGTGAGGAGAGAGTTGCAAAAAGAAAAAAGAAACTGAAGCATAAAAGATAGTTGACAATTCGACATAGTCCGGTAACTACTAATCAGATGGTGGACACCCTTTACCTTTTAATGATATGAGAACAAAGATGTGCTATGCATAACTTAGTAGTTGTTTTGTTCTATATACATGCACTATTATGGTCATTCATGATTATGATTGTGCTTGTCGCAAGAAAGCTGCTATTTTCCAGATGCTCCATGTGCCCTTTTGGGTCTCAAAACTTATGTTTGGTGTGTGGCTCCAGATATAGGGCAGTAACAAGTGCATACTACCGAGGTGCTGTTGGAGCAATGCTGGTCTATGACATCACCAAACGTCAATCTTTTGATCATGTTGCTAGGTGGTTGGAGGAACTGCGGGGCCATGCTGATAAGAACATTGTCATCATGCTTGTAGGCAACAAGACTGACCTGGGTAGTCTTCGCGCTGTACCTACTGAGGACGCCAAAGAGTTTGCTGAGAAGGAGAACCTATTCTTTATTGAAACATCGGCCCTAGAAGCAACAAATGTTGAGACAGCATTTGTTAATGTCTTGACGGAGATATATAGGGTTGTGAGCAAGAAATCCCTTGTTGCCAATGAGGCAGAATCAGCTGGGAGTTCAGCACTCCTCAGGGGAAAGGAAATTGTTGTTCCTGGCCAAGAACCTGTACCAAGTGGGAGCTCATACAGCTGTTGCAGATCTTCATAGGATTGATCTTTTCCAGAGGTTTATATGTGGGTATTATCAGGTAATAAGTTTTTTTGGTCACTTGTAGCTCTCAACGGCTTCCACTTCTTGATGTCTGGTTCCCTTCTTTCTGTGACATTTATACTTTTCCTTCCCGGTACTGATGAGCAAGAGAGATGTCATGATCCCTGAGGTGCAATGCTATTGCTACAGTAGAATTAGATTGTTTTCATTCTTCTTGTAGGTTTTCACAAGCTTACAAGTATGGCATTGTCTTCTGAGGGGATTTAAGTTTGATGTGTTCCATTGTATCATAATCACGTAAGATTGTTTTCTTTCTTGCTTTTACTTCCTGATACCTGAAATTGTAACTTGCAGCAATTGAAAACGAACCAAAAACATTACATACTGATCAATTAAAGTACACACGTCATTTCACTTTCTTAAGGGAGCACTGGAAATCTTTTTCTTACTTCTCTATAGTATACATCTTGACTTCCTGCAGCTATTCCATGCATTTCTGCTTCCCTGCCTTGGAGACTCCTGTCTTTTTTTTTCCCGCTATAGTTTACATCATTTGAATAGGGAAGAGCGAGTGCTGGGAGAGATTGATTACTGTTGGCCGCTTTTAGATATGGTATTTAATTTAAGACTAAAGCTTAGCCAAATTCTGAAAATTTCAGACCCTTCTGCTTCAGATCTTCGGGTATGAAATTTTGAACTGCTAGAGAATGTCTGAAGTTTGATCTGCCCAAATCAAATTTGACAGTTTATACTTCAAACTCGACAGTCTGAAGTTTGAAACTTCAGGCTCACGGTTGAAATTTCCAGACATGAGGTCTGAAGTTTGATTATAAGATAGCTAAACTTTAAAATCTTTGTAAATTTTGACTTTTCTTTAAATAATGGTCCTAAAAATGAAAATTTGTGCATTTCGCCCTATTGAACTTGGGGGAAAGTGCACTGTTAGTCACTAATTAGAGATGTCTTTACTCTTTAGCCACTGTTTAAAATGTATTTACTCTTTAGCCAGTGCTTAATATTTTTTGTCCGCCCAGACGATAATACCTCTGTGCTAGACATGGGTGTTGTGTAAATATTAAGGACATGGTGTCCTTAACTTCATGAATGCTGTGTAAATATTAAGGCCAAAGTTTCATGTTATGTCCTTAACTTCATATGTGCAGTGTAAATATTAAACACATGGAGTCCTTAACTTCATGTGTGCAGTGTAAATGTTAAGGACATAATGTCCTTAACTTGTATTTGCACCTTTTGTTGTTAAATTTTAGGACCTCATGTCCATAACTTCATATATGCAGTATAAGTGTTAAGGACATAGTGTCCTTAACTTTATGAGTGTTGTGTAAATATTAAGGATATAGTGTCCCTAAATTCATGAATGTTGTGTAAATATTAAGGACAAAGTGTCCTGTCAAGTCCTTAACTTCATATGTGCAGTGTAAATGTTAAGGACATGGTGTCCTTAACTTCATGTGTGCAGTGTAAATGTTAAGGACACCATGTCCTTAATATTTACACAGCACTCATGAAGAAAGGGTAAAAACGTCTTTTCGTATTAATTTTAATAGAGTAGTGGCTATTTTTGCTCAACGTTAAAAATGCTGGATAAAAATTAAATATCATGTTAAAAAGTGGCTATCCCACGCTATTTCTACTTGAACTTGAGAGCGGCCCATTCGATAAACCTGGGCTTGGATTTGGTTCAAGTAAGTGGGTGGGCCGTTGCCTCTAGCTAAGTTTAGGCTTAGCCCAACTTGTATAACTTAATGAGTTGATGTGAAGATGACTACACAGTTTCTGTTAATGTCGTGAAAATAGCACGGGCTAGCTAGTTTTCAGACTGGTAATTGAAAAATAGTCAGCGTTTGCAAAGTCATTGAAAAATAGCTACTATTTTACGGAAACATGGAAAGTTCCAGCATAATATGCTGGATAATGGAGCTCCTGCGTATAAACTCCCAGCATATTATGTTGGAACTCAAGCACATTATGCTGTAATCTCATGTAAAAAAAAAATTGAACTCTAGCATATTATGCTGGAAATTTTTCGGATTTTAAGGGGGGTTTTGTTCGGATTTTATCTTTACATGAAAAATGACTAAATTTCTATTGGCAGTTGTAAATCTTGTAATGTCTCATAATCTTATTGATTGAGAGAAAAATGAACATCTATTGATATGTAAATAATCAGCTAGTATACGTACCCGCGCGATGCGCGGATTGTTTTAAAGGAAAAAACTGATATAGTAGAAACAGATCTATATGGTAGAATAAATTTAGCAATCACATTCAAAAGAATTAAATCGAAAAACAATATAGTATGAATTTCATAGGATTGTATCTATGCCGGGGACTTCATAGGATTGTATCTATGCTAGGGACCACCGATATTTATGCATTCACGCAAAGTTCAAGGATAAAATTTGTATCCAATTCAAAATAAAATCAATATAGATAATCAAGAAAAGAGCAGTCTTACATTTTTCTTTGGAGGGGATTGAAGTTCATTTCCTTCACAAAATAAGGACAGTAAAAGCTTCTGCGTCAACTTATTCAATACCCTTCCCATCGTTCAGAGCATAACGAATCATCGCTTTTGCTTCTACTGAAAATATCAAATATTTTCATTAACTTTTGCATTAAATATTGTGTCTCCCACATGGTGTCATACTTGTGCATCTTCCCAGCCAGCAACTACTGCTTTTTGCTTCAATGTTTTAGCTACTTTGCCTGAATATTCCCATAAATGTCATAACCTATTCCAAATCTTGATCCAAAATCTCCTATTCCCACCACAATTGTACTTGGTGCCATGACCAACTTAGAGTATCTCAAATCTAAGTTGATGTTACAAAATATGGTCCTATCAAGTTATGGCAAAATAATTTTAATTGCTTGTACAAATTAGATCTAGTAGCGTTGAGATCAATACTGACTGCAAGACTCCAACGCTCTCACCAGACCTAAGGTGAAATGTGCTCTCACTTATCCTAAATATTTTTCTCCCTTGGAAGACAAAGCAAATTTAGCAACACACTATTTGGTTGAAGGCTCTAATTCCTACGTGTATTCAAAGACTTTGAAGGGTACATCTGTGCCTTCATATAAATATTATGGTTATTTGCTTCATAGTAAGAATGGTACACCGAATGTTTTGTCACCTGTTTGTAGTTACTGTGAACTTTATTATGAAGGTCCAGGAAGAAATATGTTGTGGGTGCCCATTTTTGGCAGCAGGGAGCAACACGAGAGAGTTTCTGAGGATTTATCCTCGGACGACACTGCATAATTAGATGATGTATCATATTGTGCAGAACTCATATCGGGCAAGAGAACTATTAGAGAAATTATCTATTCTTTCTCCCTCGTAAACTAACCATGAACTGATTCAAATAGTTTGTCCATAACAAATGAAAATACCAAATTAACTAAACAGGAAAAATTCAATACCAGGAAAAACATGAAATGATTCAAACATCTTGTTCATAATTAATAAAACCAATAAACTAACTAATCAGACAGTTCTTAGTTTCTCCAACTGTTACACATGCAAACAACTTATGATGTCTTCTTGTTTTTAATACTCTCTTGATCTTATTTTATGATAACTGTGCATTCGAATCTTCTTCAACCACTGCTACAGGATTAGTTATACCTATCTTGGAAACTTTAGCGATAAGCTAAAAATAGAGAACTATTATAAACAGATCTTAACTTTTTTATTAACTACAACTATCTTAACTTTAGTAAACTTATGGGACAGCTAAAAACAGAAAACTATTATCATCCTTTCAAACTTATTAAACATCTCAAGTAAATCTAAAAAGAGCAAAGGCATACAGATATAGCATTAAGCTCATTTGAAATTTAAAGTCAGATCTTAATGACCTTGTGACTTAAACTTTAAAGAACATTGACGTTATTGGTTAACCTAAAGTTCTTTCAAGTTTAACAGTCATCGCATGCATATAGACACAAATTCAACTACCACAAAAATAAAAAGGAAATGAATGCAGGGAAAAGGATCAGGTACCATTTCTTTCAATGATGATGGTCTTATTTTTCCAAACAATTATATTATACCTCAAATATAGCATTCTTTAAATTATTTGCCGACTTTTCGATAATCTTTGTTGCATCCCTAAACCACAACAGCAAAGAAATTGTACATGTATAATCCATCACTTTGACTTGTAGCCTGTACCTGAAAGAGTTTCTGCTTTTAAATTTTTAATCTTTAATAATAGCTAAGAANGGAGGGAGTAGAGATGGGCTGAGTGCCCGGCACCAGATCAATACCGAAATCAATGTCCCTATCCGGCGGCATGCCCGGCAGGTCCGCTGGAAACACATCGGGGAAATCCCTCACAACGGGAACCGAATCAAGACTAGGAGTCTCAGCTCCAACATCTCTAACGAAAGCCAAGTACGACAAACAACCCTTCCCAACCATCCGTTGGGCTTTTAGGAAGGAAATCACCCTGCCGAGTACATAGTCAGTCACGCCTCGCCACTCAATCCTCGGAATACCCGGAATAGCCAACGTAACTGTCTTGGCATGACAGTCCAGAATAGCATGGTACGGAGATAACCAATCCATACCCAGAATCACGTCGAAATCCACCATGCCCAATAATAACAAGTCAACTCGGGTTTCCAGACCCCCAATAGTAACAAGACAGGATCGATATACGTGATCTACAATAACAGTATCACCCACCGGGGTAGATACATGCACAGGCAAGGCAAGAAAACCACGGGTCGTACCCAAATGATGAGCAAAATATAAAGATACATAGGAGTAGGTAGATCCGGGATCAAATAAGACAGAGGCATCCCTGTGGCAGACTGAGATAATACCTGTGATGACTGCATCTGATGCACTGGCGTCTCTCCTATATGGAAGAGCATAGAATCGAGCCTGACCACCGCCAGTACGGTCCTCACCCCTGGGGTGACCTCTGGCTACCTGACCTCCACTCCTAGCTGACTGAGTGGGTGCTGAAGAAACAGGAGCAGAAGATGAGGGCTGATCCCTCTGCTGAGACTGTCTACTACGGAACCGGGGACACTGTCTCCTCATATGACCCAACTCACCGCACTCGTAGCAACGACCTAGAGCTGGAGAAGGGGACTTATGGGAACCCCTCGCTGCAGATGAACCCTGGGCTGAAGAAGCAGGAGCAGAGCTCTGAGCTGGAAGGGCACTCAGTGCAGGCTGGCTCTGCTGATGACCCTGATGACCACGGCCCGACGAAGCCCCACTGGACTCTGAACGACCTGACTGAGGAGGTCTGAAGGAACGACCGCTGCTGCGCTGGAACTAGCCCTTAGACGGAGCACTACTGAAACTACCTGAACCTCGAGGCCTCTTAGCCTCCCTCTCCTCACGCTCCCGACGACGATCTGTCTCAATCTG